CTATTCCATTTGTGTCACATCATCTCATAGTTCGAACTTAAGAAAGCTTGGATTCTATAACTATGGTTATGGCTGCAACTGTTATTATATGTTATTAATTTTTAATAAAAAAATAAAATAAAATGTTAGCGTCTGAGTTTAGAGATCTCACCATAGTGTTGGAAGAATCATGATGAATTTAGTGTTGTTGTTTGCGCATTTTGTAGTAGTGAGAGAAAAAAACATGTGGTTTGGTTTGGCTCGGTTGAGAAGATCGGGACTGAAACCATACGTGTAAGGATGAGAAAAGTGTCCATAATCATAAGGCTAAGGTATAATAGGTTTAAATTTGGGTTAGATGTGAGTTAAGTAAAACTTAGGTTGTAACATAATGCGGTTTTATTCGGTTTGGTTTGATTTACAAAATAAAAACCGTAAACTGAACCGAACCATGCAGTTTTGTTAAAAGATGACCCAAACATATTCAAACTAAATGTGATTTTTTGTAGTTTCAATTTAATTTGGTTCGATTTACGGTTTTTTATTGGATTGGTTTGATTTTGAACACCTCTACCATATTTATAGATAGTTATTATGTGACACCTAATGTAAGTTTGTAAAATAAGTAACAATAATTATAATAATTCATATATAATAATCCTGACTTCAACTATGTAATAAAATATCGAGGAATAACTTTTAATAGCTCATAAAATGCCTATTTTAGTCAAACATGAGTTTAATAAGCATGCACTAATAGTGTAAAATAACTTTATATGGTCATTTAATAATAAACCAATAAATTGTTATGTCATCTATATCTATATAATATATTAAATCTAAAGTGGTAGATTATATGGCGACACATGCTAACACTTCTATTCCATTTGTGCCACATCATCTCATAGTTCTATGTGACAACTCCAAAATCTTACTTTTCAAATAGAAAAATACAATATTTATTATCTATTGGATGTCACAGGTTCAAATCTTGGCAAAGACGAAAAAATCTCATTTTTAACAATAATGTTCTAACAAGACAACTACTACTCCAACTAACTATATTCTCTTAAATTTAAAATTTAAAATGGATAATTCTTAATAACGAGAGTATTTTCGTGAAAAATATTGAATATGCAAAAATAACTTTTTCTTACTCTAAGCCTACTTCACCAAGTAATCCCTTTGCATTATCTTTTACAATTGAACTACAATAACACATGTTATATAGATCCAGAACAACATCAACACCTCTTTCTTAAAGTTGAGTTGTCATGTTGAATTTTTTATTTTGTTCTTAAATCATTAAATGTATTAGTTCAATCTATATCAACTTTCTCATAAATATCAAATAATCATCATAAATATTTAATAAGCTTTCTCTTAACATAAATTATCATAATCAATTTATATTGTTCTTTCTATGATGTTTGAAGTATAATAAACATAAATATATAATAAGGTATCTTGGTACATGGAAAGATGATTACTACACTTAATCATTTGTTCTCAACAAAATCTAAGTGGACGGTATAGTAGTTTAATATATAAATTTTCTAGTTGCGATACTTGCGAGAATTTTCTTCGCTATGTATAAAATTTCTCATTTAAAATAGAAATCTGAATCTAAACACTAAAACAAAAATTATATTTTCTTTAAAATTATTAAAAAAAAACAAAAACTTAAAATAAATATTTTTAATCTCATATCGAAAAAATATTAATCAAGGAATTAGATATTAACTTAGATGAATATATTATTTTCATAAATATATATTACTAAAGTGAATATACTTTACTCTTTTCTTTTATTATAGTGATCATAGAGAATATAATAAAAATATGAGAATAATAACTAATAAAAGAATACTCATATTCTAATTGATATTAACACATAAATTGATAACATTTTAAAATCTCATTAATAAAATTAAAATAATTAATATATAAAACAACTAATTTACTATCTCAATTAGCATTTTCAACGTACATTTATTAAATAAATAAAGGTTGATAAAATAGATATAAATTTTATAAAGTTAATAAAGTTTTATTCGATAATAACTGTAAATAAATTTTTAATTTTATTTAACAAGACAATAAATACATACCTTCAAGAACTTTAATTAAATATCTAAATTAAATATAACTACTAAAAATACATCTATATCTATATAAAATATTAAATTCAGTACATCAAATATTTAGTAATACATCATCAATTATAACTCTAAAAATCATCAATTATAACTCTAAAATTTGCCACCTCATCGTATAATCCTATGTGGCACATCTCAAAACTCATTTTCACATTTTAAAATATCAAATATAATACTTCTACAAATTGGAGGTCACAGGTTCAAACCCTCGCAAAGACGGAATAACATCTCATTTTAAATAAATTGATCTAACAAACTAATCATTACTCCGATTATGTATATTCATGTTTTTAATCTTAAATTAGTTCTTACGTAATTTATAAATATAAGTCACTTTAAACTTTTTCAAAAATATAGTATAGTATACAAGAATCTTTTACGGTGTCTATGTACTTTACTACTATATTTTTTATATAATATCAAATAATAAATTAATGACAAATAACAAAATACCATGCAATAGAGATGAGAGAATTTAAACACAATAAAAGATTTTTGTGAAAGAGATGAGAGAATTCAAATAATAAACTAATGTCAATCATTATTCCAACTACATATATTTCCTTACATTAAGAATATTCTCTCAAATTTCAAAAATAAAAGAGATGTGGAAATCCATACAAAAGAGATGAGAGAACTCAAACACAATAAAATATTTTATGTTTTCATGAAATTATAGCAATAAAAATAACTTGAAATAAATGTATTTAACTTAAAGTAGTTCTTACACAATTTTCAAATATAAGTCACTTTAAGATGATCTTTAAAAATAATATAGTATACAACAATGTTTTACGATTTCTTTATACTTTACTACTATATTTTTTCATATAATATCAAATAACAAACTAATGATAAACAACAAGATACCATACAAAAGAGATGTGAGAATCCAAACACAATAAAATATTTTTTAATTTTCTGAAATTATAGCAATAAAAGTAACACTTGAAACAAATATTTTTAATTTTAAAGTAATCTTACACATTTTCAAAGATAAGTCATTATGAGTTGATCTTAAAATATAATACCTATAGAATAATCTTTTACCATATGTATATACTTTACTAATATATTTTTCATATAATATCAAATAATAAACTAAAGACAAATAACAATATTTATGATTTCTCGCAAAAGAGAATATAATTTTTTTTTAAATAGTTTACTCTTTTGTTTTATAATTGTGACCATATAGAGTATAATAAAAACAACCATGATAATGTCCAAAAAAATAACACTCATATTTCAAACAATATCAATGATAAAATCAAAAAAAAAAATTTACATTCTCAATAACGAAAATTAAAATAATAAATGAAAAAAAATTAATATAGCAACTAACATTTTCAATCCTTTATTCATCAAATAACTAAAGTTTGACCAAATAGACATAAATTTTATAAAGTTAATAAAATTTTTATTTGATAATAATTGTAAATAAATTTATAATTTTATTTAACACTAAAAATAAATACATATGTTTAACAAACTAAAATAAAATATCTAAATATAAAAGATAATTGCAAAAAAAAAACATGAGAATCAAAACAAACTAAAAACCATTTTATAGATATTTAAGTTTGTAAATCTAAATTATGAATATCCCTCTCAATTTAGAAGCATGTATTTTCTTTTCAAATAAATTGTATCCTTGTCTATGTAATTAATTTATATCATTGTCTCTATTATAATTCACAAAAAAAAACATGTAATATAAATTTAGTAATCATATTTTTTCAAAACAAACTCTTAATATATTTAAAATTAAATAAAAAATGATTAAGTTAATTTACACCCGCGCATCGTGCGGATCTTAATCTAGTTTAAATAATTTTAAAATATAAAGTGATTTGGCATAATATGATATATTTATTGGTTGATAGCCTAAAATTGATTTACATTGTTAGTACATCTCTTATTTTTTCTATATATAAAATGTTCATAAAATTAAACATGACATAATTTTGAATAAAAAATACAAACGAAAAGTTCGGTGGTTTATTTAACGTTTTCAGGGAGGTCGGGAGGTCTTCTTATTTTGTGGAAGGCGAGATTATTCGATGTTGTTTCAAGCTTCATTGGAGAAAGTTTTTTGAGCATTCATGTGGTTTGAAGATGTAATCATATTTTCCTTGTTAACATTTATTATTCTTGTATTCTTTCTAAGAAGAGGGCTATATGGGATGAATTGAGTAGGATGAAGGAGAATTTCTCGTTGGGTTGGTGGTGTATTAGGGTGACTTTAACTCGGTTAGAAGTCAAGATGAGAGAAAAGGGGTAAGCTTTTTTTTTAATCATAGAGAAGCGAAGGAGTTTAATGCTTTTATTGAGGACTTAGACTTGGTGGATGTGTCTTTATTAGGGAAGAAACTTACTTGGTTCAAGCTGGATGGGAGTGCGCGTAGTCGTTTGGATCGCTTTTTGGTTTCTTATGACCTGTTCGATCTTTGGAAATTGGAGGGTTTGTTGGTGGGGGATAGAAACTTATCTGATCATTATCCTATTTTGTTGTATGGTAATCATTATAATTGGGGCCTAAACTGTTTAAGTTCTTTAAATTTTTGTTTGATTATGATGATTTCTTACCTTTTATGGAAGAGGTGTGGAGGACGGTGGTGATTAGAGGGAAGGTGAGATATGTGTCGAAAGAGAAACTTAATATTCTCAAATCTAAGTTGAAAGTTTAAAATAAAGTGGTTTTTGGGGTTTGGATTTGGATGTTAATAAAGAAGTGGGGGCCCTTAATTCTCTTGATGAGTTCATGTCCAATGTGGCGGGGGAGGAGTGGATTCTATGGTAGTTAGTGCTAGAGTTAATGCTTCTAAGGAGGTTTGGGATTCTATGTTGCTTAGAGAGAGCATGTTAAGAAAAAAATCCAGATGTAATTGGATTAAGCTTAGTGACGCCAACTCCAAATTCTTTCATTCTGTTATGAAAGGGAGGTTTAGGAGCAATAATATGGTGGGGATGGAATCGGTCAGGGGTAGATTGATGAGGGTTGAAGATATCAAAATTGGGGTGTTTCGTCATTTTAAAAATCAATTTTCTAAGTCGGTTCCTTTGTGTCACGTCCTGGATGGTGAGGTGTTTAATTCTTTATCTAAGGAGGAAAAAGGTTCCTTAGAAGCTCCATTTACTTTGGAAGAGATTCTGGATGTTGTGTGGTTGAGTGATTGTGACAAGAGTCCGGGCCCGAATAGTTTTCCTCTTGGTTTTTTAATAGGTGTTAGTCTTTTGTGAAAGATGATATTGTGAAGTTTGAGCAAGAATTTCATGACAAGGGATTTCTTCCTAGAGTAGCTACGACCTCATTTATTGCTCTTATCCCTAAGAACTCCTCCCTATAACACATTGAGGAGTTTAGGCCTACTTGCTTGGCTGGGTGTTTGTATTGTTTGATTTCCAAACTCTTGACAGCTAGGTTGAAAGGGGTTATTGGTAAGCTCCCCCCTTCTCAAATGACTTTCATTGAAGGTCGTCATATGCTTGATGGAGTTCTTATACTCAATGAGGTTCTTGATCCAGCTAAGAGGTTGAAGAAAAGGTGCTTGGTTTTGAAGGTTGATTTTACAAAGGCATATAATTAAGTTTGGTGGGATTTCCTTAGGTATTTAACAAAGCCTATGGGGTTTGGCCACAAATGGTTGGATTAGATGGAGGAAACAATTTTCTCTAGCTCTATCTCGGTTATTGTTAATGGTAGTCCCACTTGTGAGTTTATGGCGTCTAGAGGTTTATGGAAAGGGGATCATCTATCTCCTTTTTTGTTTCTCTTGGTGGCAGAAGGTTTGCTGATTTATTATGGAATGCGGTGTCCTATGGTTCTTTCAAGGGATTCCAAGTTTCTAATAACATTTGTTTCAACATGTTACAGTTTGCGGATGATACGACCTTTATTTGTGATGGCTCTTGGGATAATCGGTGGTGCATCAAATCCTTATTGTTGGGGTTCGAGTTAGTGTCAGGGTTGTGCATTAACTTGAACAAAAGTAAGTTGTTTGGAGTGCATTTTCACACATCTTTGTTGCATCCGATGTAACACCCCATTTTTACCTGGCGAATAATATTAAAATCAGAGTTACAAAATTTCGACATATAAATAGGATGCTACACTTACTACTTAAAAACACCTTTATTTAATCGCATGTAAAATAAATACATAACACTTAAACTCGAATAAACCGTTAACCACATATTTTAGTCTTTAAAATAAAATAACTTTTATAATTAAGTAGTGAAATCACAATTTTCAATTCAAATGACATAACATCTTTGTCCAACTGAAAACAACTTTAAAAACAACAAAGTACTTAGTAATTAAATTTAAAATTTGACAATGGAAGTAATCGCAACAATAAAGCAACAAGCGTTCATCCCCCTGAGTGTTACGTATCAGAGCGACGACACCGACTCGAACTACTGAAGGTAAACAACCTTCAATCTGGATTACTTGCACGTTACCAACATAAGGATAACATTCAAACAGAAGGGGTGAGATATCAAACAATATAATAGAACGCATGATAAATAATATATTAGAATTAGTTCATACAAAATCACCACTTCTCAGCTCGTTAACAACATTTAACATACTCAGTTTCACCCACACACAACTCAGAATGCAACATGAATGCAATTTATTTTTATGCACATGCATGTGGTACCAACAGAGAAAAACTCCCAACTTAATGATATGCCAATTAATAGAGGCATCAAAAAAGAATAAGCCTTCAATTTTATATTTTCCAATCCAGGCCAACTTACCGAGCATGAGCTCCGAACTTGATATGCTATGTATGTGACAACAGTATGAATGTAGTAACAACAACAACAATAATTCAACAACAACTCAGTACAATTCAACATTGACCATAATTCTACAACTTAATATCTGCCAATAATTGGAGGCATCTCAACAAAATTCATCATCACCTACCAATTCTCAAATTATAACAAAGTATACAATACACCGTATTAACCAAAATATACTACGACGTCCTGCATAATTATTCGGGCAATTCGACTATATCCGGCTAAATAGCTTTTTGCTAAAATACTAATGTTTTCGGTTCTGTACTACTATCTCCAATTCCATACGATTTACTGCTAGTCACTTATTAATTATTTCATCTTTGTTACTAGCTACTAATTTATTCTCCTATTAATACTGCTACTGAAAACTCTACTAAATTACTTTTACTGATAACCTTATTATTAGTTCTCTGCTAATTATTAATTCTACTATCTCTCCTGCTACTAACTTATATCTACTAGTAACCCATTGATCATTCAGGGGGTAAATTACCTTAAGAACTCTAATTATTATGTCAAGACTGTTAAATAAATAATTCACCAATTAGGATGCACAGGAGCAAAGAAAAAAAGAATAAGAAATAAATGTGCCCCTCAGCACAACAACCCTGCCGCTGGGCACTTCCCCTTTTTTCCTCTATGCCGGTCGACACACACCATTCCCCTCGGCACACGCAGCCTTGTGCCGCTTGGCACAAGTACCTGTGCCCCTCGCCACAGCGTGTCTTCCAGCCCCTCACAGACTCCAGTCTGTTACTGATACTAACGCAAAATTTTCTAAATTTTCTTTCGATTACAAACATCATACCAAAACAACATTTATTATTATAACAACATAACAACTACACCAACCATGGGTTAATTTCCAACCTTTCATTCATCGATAGAATTACTGCAACGTTATCCGAAATTATGACAGTGGTAACATGAAATTCAAAAACAACAACAATTTCACGTACAACAACAATTATTCACACAACCAATCCCTACATAATATTTATCATGACTCTCATTATAGAGTCAGAACCCCATCTTTACCTTGGATTGAAGGTCGCTTTATAACTCTCCAATCGAAAACCTTGCTTTGCCTCTTCTCCCTATTCCTCTTCTATGCAACTTCTCACGATCAATTTGCAACTCCTTATCAATTAACCCTGTTCTTTATTTAAATAAAACCTCATAACATTATTATTCTTAGTGGGCTTAAAAACACACCTCCCATATCTCTACTTCTAATCATTAAAATAGGCCCAACATAATTATTCTATTATTCTACTAATTCTAGTATTATTACTATTATTAATCAACTAATTAATTAACTTGTAATAATTTAGCAACTTATTCCAACAATTCACAACATCTCACAACTTCAATGAATATTCTAAAATATTTAATTAAATAATTAATTAAATTAACGGGCGTTACATCCGACATCTTCTTTCTTGAGTTGTCAAGTGCGTAAGCTTCCTTTCTTGTTTTTGGTGATTTTGGTTGGAGCTAACCATAGGCACAACGAGACTTGGCTTGGGATTATTGATAAGTTAAGAGGATATTAGGTGTGTGGAGTGGTAAGCATTTGTCTTTGGAGGGAAGGTCACTTTTTGTTGAATTTCATGCTCAATAACATTCTGATCTTTATGCTTTCCTTCTTCAAAGCATCGAAGTGCATCTATGAGGAGATTATCAAGACTCAATGAGCCTTTTTATGGGGGAATGGAAATGTTAGGAGGAAGGTTTATTGGGTTAGTTGGGAGAATATTTGTCTTTTGATTGAGGAAGGAGGCCTTGATGTTAAGAATATTGCGTCTGTTAATCTTTCTTTAATTGGTAAGTGGGGTTAGAGATTTTTGACAGATAAAGATGTTGTGGGGAGGATCTGATCCAGTTTAGATATGGAGGTAGGATGTAGGCTTTGGTAGGGATTGTTTCTAGTAGTGTTGCGGCGAAATGATCTCTTTGGTGAATGTATGAGCGGGTGGTTTGTGGTTTTGTTATTCATGGGAAAATGTAATTTGCGAGTAGCATCTCTTGCAAGTTGGATAATGGTGAAGGTTTTAGCTTTTGGGACACTTCTTGGTTATGTCCTACGCCTCTGAAGGTACCTTTCTCACTTTTATTTGATGTTTTCTCTACATGTTCTTCTTCTTATCCTTCTGTGGCAGATATGGGTTTTCGGGAAGGAAATACTTGGAATTGGGATTTAAGTATTGATGAGAATCGGTTGGTGGGTGACTGTGTGTGGGAGTGGGTGGATTTGACTGCTTTGTTGGAAGGTGTTAGGCCGGATTTAGCGGTGGTGATAAGTTGGCGTGGTGGAAGATTGTAGAGGGATTTTCAGTTAAAAACGACTATAGGTGGATTTATACTCTGAACAACGCGAATGTGGGTCTCATGGATGAGAGGATTTTAGGGGAGCTAAATAGGTTGTGGAAATCTCCTGTGGCTTGCAAGGTTAAATTTTTTGGTTGGAGGTTCTTGTCTAATGCCTTACTGATTAAACTTGAATTGTACCGTAGGGTGTGACGCTTTATGGAAGTGATACTTCCTGTCCCTTTTGTGAGTTGGTGGAGGAGTCGTTAGATCATTTTTTCTTTGATTGTACCAAAGTGGCGATTATTTAGAAAGATGTGTTCCGTTGGTTAGGAGTGGATCTTGGTAGACTTTTGAGGATGTCGGATTATGAAGGTGTTGCTTGGGGTTTGACCTCAATCGAGGATGTCTTGGTGTTATTAACCGCATCAGTCATGTCTTCTTTTGTTACATTTTTTTGGTTGTTGATTTATTGGTGTGTGGATTGGTAGTGATAAGGTGTTTTTGACAATGGTGTTTGGAATGGGGCAGTACCTTACTTTTTATTAAGAAGTTAGGATGTGATTTAATATCTATCTTGTCTAAAACTAGTAGTGTTATAGTTCAAGACGAGTGGTTCGTCAATCCGGTGGTGTATGTCGGTTTGTTGCTCCTTGTTTTTTAAGACTCTTCTTGTTAGTTTTTAATTCTTTTTATATTTAGTTAGCACTCTTTGTGCTTTTAATACAAATGATTATCGGAAACAAAAATAACAAATCAAATTTTCAATAATTTATTTTTAAATTATCAATATTAATTTATATCAATTTTTAAAAATAATTTAATATCTATAAACTAATACCGATATTTTGAAATAGTCCCTTTCCTACTTGAAATTTTCATTAGTTGAAAAAGCTATTTTTTCTGTTGGCAAGAGTATTGGAAATTTTTTGTTACAAGTTTGCACCTTTTTTATCTCTCTTTTTAAATACAACATTACTTATTACTTTTTACACTCAATAACCAAGTTCTAAACTATATCAATCTTTTCACACTCAATTAATCAATTTTATTTTACTAAATATTTTTTATGATATCAGAATATATATTAACTAAAGTATGAATTGTATTAATAAATTTTTTATATACTATTAATCAAAGTTGTTTTAGTGAAAAAATTATTAAAAAAAAGTCAAAATAAAAGAATTACTGTTCACTATATTTGGACGTTCGTAGAAAAACATTCCCCAACATAAAAACATCTTTTATCATTGAAAGCACAGAATCTACATAAGGACCAGTCCAGAACTAAAGTACTAATTATACGTGTAATCTTAGGCCAGCAAGAAAACACAGCCAGAGCCAGCCAATACCTTTCTTATACTTGAAGCGTCCAAAGCACTAACTAGCATAATATTCTTTTTCTACTTATATATAAATGCATCTCACGTTCTCTTTCTCTATCTGCATGTTAATTATACATATCTGTTCCTTAGAAATTAACGACAAAAACAAAAAAAAAAAACAAGACCAAGTTGAGTTGTTATCATATGATGAAGACAAGTTGGTCGTTTAAGAAAATGAGCAAGGAACAATTGCGACCGTGGAAATTCTCTAATGTGTTTCAATGGAAACGACTTCATCTACGAACGGCGATCATGGACACTGTTGTTTATAAGATAATTTATGTTGTAGAAGGTGTTGTAATCGTTTCTTCGTTTTGCTTCTTCTATGTTTTCTGTGGCTTTTGAATTCTGTGTTTATCACTATGTATAAGATCTTCATATTCAGATTTGTTTGTTTAATTATTTTTTTGTAGTTATTCTTCAATAATACAATGCTCGTTTTTTATTCTTGTTATCAAAGTTTTTTAAATATATAAAGATATTTGGTTTGTTGCGACCTTGCGGCTGTCGATAGTCAACACGTAGAACAAGCTCTTCAGGGTGATAAACTATTAACATTCAAGAAAATGTTTCCTTGGACCTTCCCCTTCATGGATTGTTGTCAACAGAAAATCAAACCTTGAATTCGGACGGTCTGAAAAAATAATACTTGTAAACATTCTTGATGTTCAAGTTAAAGATGACCGACTGCAAGTGTGTGATGTTTTGGTTCGAATTGTTTGTACTTTTTTTTTATTATAGAAAACACTATTTCATTAAGTGAAAAACTAGAAGGCATTACAACCATTAAGAGACATATGATATAGGACAATATCTCATACATAGTTAAGCATCTCTACTAGCAAAAATTGCATAATAATAAAAGATATTACGCATAGATTGAACACAAGCTAAAAAGACACAGTCAAATCATAAACAACAACAAACTAAGAAGATACAATCAAGCGAAAAACACTAATATATATTTCATCCATCAACTCTCTTAAGGATACAATTAGTGACAATATAGGAATGAAAATCGATAGTTTTTTTTCAAATCCAATTAAAGATGACTTCTTTAACTTGTATCTGCGCATTTCGACTGCCTTTGATCTCAAGATTGTCTACTTTTATGGAATGCTCAAAACTTAATTGAGGATTAGAGATAGTGTTGCTCCAAGACACAAAAATTCTTTAGAGCTTTTTTATCAAACACCAAGAGTGCAAACTTAAATCCCAAAAGACAACAACATAAAATAGACACCACAAAAACAAAAATGGATAAATCTAAAAGAGGAATAAATTGGAACTTGTAGTAAATTCAGAGGCTTTGGCGTGGGCCAAACGTAGCTAACATAAAAGACGTGGGAGCAAAAACAAGGAAGAGAGTTACATACACCATTGTTAAGTTTGAGATGCTGAGAACAACCCTAACAAGCACTACGCTAAAACTGCTTTTAGACAGCACACCTTAGTGTTAGCTCCTAAATTCGACACCTACAACAAGTTGGTCTTATCGGTCAAAAATAGATTGAACAAGTCTAAGTTGGAAAGGCTTCCACAGAGTAGAAAAATACTTAGAGAAATTCTAAGTTAAAATGAATCTTCGACCAGAATGTTCTCAATCCCTTCGACTGAAAGGACTCCAAGGTCTTCGACCAGAAGGAAACTTCGTATCTGCACCAGAAGATTTTGAATCTGAAGAAAGGAGAGAAAAACAGTTCGTTTGGCAATTGAGGAAAGCAACGTGGCATGAAGAGAGGGGTCGAAGCGCATGCAGAAGTTTATGTAGATTTCTGTGTGTTCAACTGATCGTAAAAATTATTCAATACTACTCAAGTACCCGCTGCGTGAGAAAGAATACTGAAAAATGTACGTTTGAAACACCACATTTTACAATCAAAGTCTTTTATTTTTCTCTTTACTTTTCTTGCCTTTTCATCTTGTTTTCACTTTATCTGCACTTTTACCCAGATTCCTGCACCTAACTTCTCCTCAAACCCTTTGTTCTATCTACTTTCTACACTCAAACTCATCTATTTCCCAGTCGAACGTGCGTTCTTCACCCACATTAACTTTTATGTCCGAACAAAATAAAAAATTAGCATATGTCCTAGGATCAAACTGATTGATCCTGCGAGTAACCAAAAAGTTACCCTTTTTCGAAGATCAGTTGTTGTTTACCAGAAAACACGGTGAACAAATTGGCACACCCGGTCGGACCTTGCTAATTACTGTTGTTTTATTTATTTTGTCTTCCATTTTTTCTTATTAATTTTAATATAAATGCTTCGCATGATTTTATTTCTTTTACAAAGTTTTGCATGCTATTAAGAAGTGGTAAAATAACCACCAACGAGTGTACAACTAGAAAGAGAAATAGCGAAAGCAATATGGCTAATCAGCCAAATAATGGAGAAATACCTCCACCAATTACTACGGGAACAACGATAATACCAACCGTTAGTGAAATTGTCTCGTCAACTGTTGGTTCAATACCAACGTTAACAGCAACCCAAACGGGACCAATACTTTCGTATGTAGGGCCCAGAGGTTCAACAGGAACACCTCCACCAAGGGTGAATCCAGGATTTCGACCACACGCTCCCCCAGGATTTTCGACAGTCTGGATGGGTCGAGACTAGCCTTATGGTATGCTAACTACTAAAATGGCTAGCCTTATAAACGTTGCGTCTATATTTTTAGAACCTTTGGTAAGTGCGTTTTCGCCATTACAAAGATCTGGAACTGGTATGGGTAGAAACCAAGTTTTAGGAGGGACATCCCATGCAATGACAAGCCTCACAAACGCTTCCACAACAATTTTGAGGCAACAGATGGATGAAAGCAACCATGACATGGTGCAAATGTTGGCCCAAACTTTAAGTACAGTATTGAACCCTCTAATACAAAATACTACTCAGTCAAACCAACAAATGACAGGGCAAATGGTGCAAATGACTGAATTTTTTGGGGTTCCACAACCTATTCGACAACCCCAGAGAGCCCCTATGAGAAAGGATCAAGGTGTAGTCTTAGAAGAAGATGTAACTATTAACCAAAATCCATAATTCGATAGGAGGAACCACAAATTAGAAGTCAAACAACCTAGGGTCGAAATACCCAGACTTCTCCCGAAGATCCCTAGAGATGGTGATCAAGGTGTAATGATGGTAAATAGGAATCAAAATGCTGACGAACTAATACAACAAATTCGACACCATAATTATGGCACAGAAAATAATTTTACAACCATGATCGAAAGGATCATGATACAAAATGGGACGAACGTTGGCTTTCGTAGGACAAATTTTACATCCCCACTGTCAGAATATATCTTGCAAACAGATTTACCCCCTAGGTGGAAAGTTCCAAAGTTCACTAAATTTTCAGGGGATACGACAGAATCATCTGTCGAACATATAGCGAGATATTTGATAGAAGCTGGGAAAATATCAAATAATGAGAGCCTTAGGATTAAATATTTCCCAAGTTCTCTAACAAAAAACGCTTTTACTTGGTTTACCATCTTCCCAGCAAATTCGATCCATAATTGGAATCAATTGGAGAGATTGTTCCATGAACAATTTTATACGGGACAAACCAAAATAAGTCTGAAAGAACTGGCAAGCGTGAAAAGAAGATTCACCGAGCCAATAGACGAATATCTAAGTAGGTTTCGACTGCTCAAAGCCAGATGCTTTACACAAGTGCCTGAGCATGAATTGGTCGAAATGGCTGCAGGGGGCCTAGACTATTCTATTAGGAAGAAACTAGATACCCAATATCTGAGCGACATGGCCCAGTTGGCCGATAGAGTTTGACAGGTAGAACGTCTTAAAATTAAAAAATCTAAAGCAACTAAGACTCATCGGCGAGAAAAGGTAGCGTATGTCGAAATGGATGACGATGATCGAGAGACATCTAGTAATCCTATAGTCGTCGAAGAGAGCGAAATAGATTTAGCAGAGTTAAAACATGGGCCTCCATACTCTTGTAGAGTGTTACTGCCCTCAGATGGGAAGAATCCTACTGAGTCTGAAAAGAACATCAATAGATTCCCAAAGAAAACGTATAGTTTTGACGTCACAAAATGTGATGAGATATTCAACTTATTAGTGAAAGATGGCCAAATTATAGTGCCCCCAGGGGGAAAAAGGCCTCCTTTAGAACAAAGAAAGAAAAGAGGTTTTTGTAAGTATCATAATTTTTTGGGCCATAAAACTTCATAATGTTTTCTTTTCAAGGATCTCGTTCAAGGAGCGATCAAAGAAGGCAGACTCAAATTTGCTGACAAACCCCAAATGAAAATTGATGCAGACCCACTGAGAGCTGATGCCCACTATGCTGAACCAGCAGGCAACAACATGGTCGAAACTTCTGAAGACTTCGTCAATATGCCGGTCTTTGGAAGTTTTACTGGGAACATCTCCAGAAAGACTGCATAAGCGGTTATAAAGGCCATTGAAGGCCTAAACAAGAAGGCCACTGAAGGCCTAAACAAGAAGGCTACTGAAGGCCTAAGCAAAGGAGTTACTGAAGACTCAAACAAAAAGACTATTGTAAGTTCGTATGTGGCTGCCGTCAAGGGTTCTATAGAGGACCTTGAGGCCAAAATGCAAAAAATGAATCTCGCTGCCAAGAGAAACGTATAAGTCAACATGGTCGAAGTATATGAGGAAAAGGCTTTAGAGGAAACCATTAGACAAGAGAAAGTGAATAAAACTGCATTTCCAAAAGAAAATGAGAATCTGGCTGACTTTCTACAACGATGCTAGAAGAAAAAGTCTGAATTTATGTTGTGTCCAAGATGCAGCTCCATCTACGACAAAAAGGCTGCAAAACACATACAGGGCCTAAGAGTAATGAAAGAGAAAAGGGCCATCAATGCCCAACCCCACATGGTTTCTGAAGTTAGATACGATCCTAGAAGAGGACCAATGAACTAGGTGAAGAGGCCATCAACTTTCAGGCCTCCAACAAATGTCCCCGTAGACACTTGGCTAAAGATAGTAAACAGGAAAAGGCCAAGTGAAGGGAAATGGCAAACATTCGATGTGCCAAGAGGGTAATCCTTGGCATATAGGAAAGAGTTCCAAACTACGACTACAAACAAAGTGGCTCATGTGTTGAGCAACTATAAGGGAAAAAACCCCATGTCTCTCTCCCAATGAAGAAGATTTCAGAGACGGCAAAAGGCCAAAAGGGAGGCTACAGAAGAGCCTCAACCAGAGTCAAGCACCAACGTGCCACAAAGAATGGACAAAGGAAAACAACGAGATCCTTTAGAAAGGAAACTAATTGCCAGAAGATTGGAATGGCCAGATCAAGGTGAATTAGATGACGAAGGTAACTCTGAATCTGAT